GGGTGTGTGTGTCTTAAAGCTGGCAAAAATATCAAATTCAATTATTATATGTATTTCGGGGAGATTACCTACCCCTAATCGGAAGATGTATACGATTATAAAATTGAAATAAATAATTATGATAAAATAATAATCATTATTATGGTATTCATGGTATTGCGAATACCAGTACGGTATAATTGATGTTGTAAAAACCATTGAAAACAATATGCATTTTTGTTTTTAGTAAAACTACTATACTTAGACGATTCAACGGCGAAGATATAACTATTAAATTTGATGGTGAACTGACAGTCTTTGATATCAATTACATCGGTCTGTGGTGTGAATCAGCCACACAAGACTTCGGGCACGTCGATATACCAAATATGCCAGCAGTTATACCAAGTATAATAACTGAGGTAATATGAAATAGCACTGCATGTAATTAATCAACCAAATAATCAATTGAGTATTCATCCAATCAACGGATATCCAATATAATTACCAATACAGTACACCGGTACTTAGATGTGTAGTACAATCGTATCATATTGTTTTATTGAAAACACATCGCATTTTCCAGAAAACTCATTCTAACCCCATTTCTATAATCAAAAAATTAATTTCTGGACCCCTACTTTTTTTCAGGACCCGAGAGCTGAAATTGTTTTGTTACAATGTGAAAATTAGTCAGGAAAGCTCATTTCCCGCCATCTAGAAATCAAAATTCTTTTCTGGGGAGGACCCGCGACCCCCTTGCTTTTTTGGGGTTTATCGATTAATGGCACAAAAAGAATACGTATGCAACTACTCAATCATCGAGACTGAGCCCACTCACTTAACGTTAACCCCCACCACTATCCCCGCCCCATATCAATACTCCTTCATTTGATTTTCCACTGCTTATAGTGCAGTAAATCAGAGGTGGGAATAAAATGGGTCGGAGGGCAAAAATGAGTTTTTGATTTAACACCAATGGCTGCAAACAAAATTATTGCCATATTACCAGTGCGGTTTAAAAAACCTTCATTCACTGCATTTATACCACTTTATGCTCAATTTTAATACAGTATTACTTTTTGCAGATGATCAGGTGTAGGGTCGTGAAAAACAAGGTGTTTTGTAACCAAAGATGGTTGGTGGGCTGTACACATGATTCGTTTTCTCGGGCAGCATAACTATAACTGTCGGGCCGCATGCGTCCCGCGAGCCGCGCTTTACTCATCTGTGCCATAAATCAACCGACCGATTAATCAATCAAAGAATCAACCAATCAACCGATTTGAAAAGAATTAGAAGAATAATTGTTGGTTTAGTTCTTAAGCTGACCATACTTCCACCCGTCGGAAGAAAAACCACAATTCGTCCTGGAGAAAAAAAAAATATATGTATTTTGTACATATTAGTGGACTCTAAAATCGATTAAATAAGCCTAAATTGTCAAAATTTTCGGGGGATTCACCCCCTGGACCACTTTCGAAACATTTTAAGCGACGCTCGACCACACCCACTTTGCTCTGGGTTGGGGCATCGCCGATGCTCGTCACACTGCTTGTACCCTTGGTGGGCAAGACACTATCTCTGCATTTTCCCCTCTTCGCCCAGGATATAAATGGGTACCTGGTAGGAGGTGAATGATTCGGAAATGAAATTAGTAGTGCTGATTACAAGCATAATTAGAAATACTCCTCAGGGAGCGGGGGAGGTTGCACGTTTTTTTATGATTGATTCTGTATTCAATGTAATGAGCAGTTTTCTGTGAGCGCTATATAAATAATATTAAATAAAATAAATAGCATTAATGCATCTATTTCACTATTTCAGCCTCCACCAACGCAGGCACCAACACCGACACCACCACCACCTTTTGATAACTGTGAACCGTTGAGTGATACTTTCCAAGTGTTGTGGCAGATTCGAGATCAGTCCATTGATATCGAGCTGAGGGGGCTAATTCCTATGAATAATTACATGTCATTCGGTTTAAGTGGCGCAACTGATCGGACTTCTATGGTTGGTTCTGACGTCGTAGTTGCTTGGTTAAATGGACCAGAAGCTAAAGCTGTAGATTACGATTTGAATGCATATTCTCAGGTAGGTTTAGAATCTGTATTTTTCACTTCAAAGGTAACGGTTTTTGCAGTGGCTGCGTCTCAGACTTGAAGTAGGGAGTCAGAATCCTATCCTGTGAACCTGTACCCATCCTTAGGCAAAGTATTTCTTCGATGTTGAGCTTCATGAGTAAATGTGGATATATGCCACTTCGATTCTAAGTAAACCGATGCCAGCTATTCCCGTCTGTCAGGGGCTTTAAGGACCGGGCCAGTACACCGGGGTAACGTCATCCTACTCTACTCGTCCTCGACAACAACAACAACAACAAAATTCGTCTGGGAGAAAAAAAATTATATGTATTTTCTACATATTAATAGAATCTAAAATCGAAAATTAAATAAGCCTTTGAAACCCCTAAATTTTCAAAAATTTTCGCAGCTTCTCCCCCTAGACCACATTCACAATCATTTAATCGAAGCTCCACCACACCCACTTTGCTTTTCGTCGGGGACCTCGACCCCCGCCCCCTTCGGGCAAATCCTGGCGCCACCCCTGTTCTACAAGTAAGCCAATTTTGTACACTGGCCTACAGTTATAGTTCTTATCCAAGAAGACTTGTCTCACCACCATACCTTTAGCAGAACGCGTGTTGCTCGAACAAGCGCCGATTTATGGAGGAGTTTGCGGCGACACTGCTTTAAACCGGTCGGCCATTCGGACTCGCCATGTTGCTATCACATCAACCACTAACATCAGACTGCAAGTCCCAATATTCTGTGAATAAATAAATGTATTTAACAGTAATAGAGAAAAATTAATCTTTATTGTTTCTGTAATGATATTTCAGTGTTCAGGTGGTAGTGGTGCATGCCCTGATACGGAATCGTCAACTCCTGGAACAGATAGTGTCACCGACATAGCAGGCTCGTTTTCAGATGGTGTTACATCTATTAAATACACCAGACTACTAAACACAGGTAAAGATTTTTTTAGGGGGCTCAGTGGGGATCCAATGTGTTTTGAAAAAAGTGCTCTTCCCCCAGCAGTTTTTAAAAATACTTTTGGATAAATTTGGTATTGATTTTATAATTAAACTTTGATAACAATATCAGTTTTGATGTCTGTGGCGTCCCATATACCTCTTTGCGACTTCAAAGTATGAGGCCTACTAACATATTAACTAAAGTAAGAATTGCAG